ATATCAGCTTTAAACCCCCATTGGTAGCTAGCTAAACGACAATATTGTTCTACCTTTTCTTAACAACCTCTGTCGGCTTTTAGGTGCGAAAACATCCGTAGGCTGCAGGGTTTATTTGAGACATTTTTCTCCAGATCAGCCGGTAGCTGTGGACATTAAAAGGGCCCTAACCCCCAAAGTGTAACTCGGGTTTTTGCAGTGTTAGGAGCGGCACATATCAAAAGTAGGGGGGATAAGTGACACTCTATAATTACACTTATGTATAAGATTTAATTACATCTTTCCAATTTTATTTTAATAAATTTAAAGAATATACTTTTATGTTATATAAAACACCTGTTACTATTTATTCTACGACCTAATTTTGTCTCATATAAACATCACAATCTACTTAAACCTATCTATTTTAACTGGACAGTTTTTGAAACTATTATGTTTATTGCACCAACAACTTTTAACTTGTGGGCCAAGTCATACATCTCTTTTCAATACTAAAACTAGCTCGGGTTGTTTAACTTGTACAACTCGGGTTGTTTAACTTGTACAACTCGGGTTGTTTAACTTGTACAACTCGGGTTGTTTAACTTGTACAGCTCGGGTTGTTTAACTTGTACAGTTCGGGTTGTTTAACTTGTATAGCTCGGGTTGTTTAACTTGTATAGTTCGGGTTGTTTAACTTGTACAGTTCGGGTTGTTTAACTTGTACAGTTCGGGTTGTTTAACTTGTAGGCCTACAACTCGGGTTGTCTAACTTGTACAGTTCGGGTTGTTTAACTTGTACAGTTCGGGTTGTTTAACTTGTACAACTCGGGTTGTCTAACTTGTACAGTTCGGGTTGTTTAACTTGTATAGCTCGGGTTGTTTAACTTGTACAGCTCGGTTTGTTTAACTTGTACAACTCAGGTTGTTTAACCTGTACAGGGTCGTGAGGGGGGTGGGGGGTGGATGTGCTTTGGAGGGTCGTGAGGAGGGGGGTGGTTGGGGGACAGTGGATGTGCTTTGGAGGGTCGTGAGGGGGGGGGGGGGAGGGGGATACTGTGCGCCCTTTCTTCTAAGAGATGTCTGAAATAAACTAGTCCTTTTTAAAGATAAAAATCTTTATACGTTATATCAGAGCTTTAAGAATTAATACGTACCTATATCAACAATTCAGAATATTGTTAATGACGAAATAATACGTACCTATATCAACAATTCAGAATATTGTTAATGACGAAATAATACGTACCTATATCAACAATTCAGAATATTGTTAATGACGAAATAATACGTACCTATATCAACAATTCAGAATATTGTTAATGACGAAAGAATACGTACCTATATCAACAATTCAGAATATTGTTAATGACGAAATAATACGTACCTATATCAACAATTCAGAATATTGTTAATGACGAAATAATACGTACCTATATCAACAATTCAGAATATTGTTAATGACGAAAGAATACGTACCTATATCAACAATTCAGAATATTGTTAATGACGAAATAATACGTACCTATATCAACAATTATACGTACCTATATCAACAATTCAGAATATTGTTAATGACGAAATAATACGTACCTATATCAACTATTCAGAATATTGTTAATGACGAAATAATACGTACCTATATCAACAATTCAGAATATTGTTAATGACGAAATAATACGTACCTATATCAACAATTCAGAATATTGTTAATGACGAAATAATACGTACCTATATCAACTATTCAGAATATTGTTAATGACAAAATAATACGTACCTATATCAACTATTCAGAATATTGTTAATGACGAAATAATACGTACCTATATCAACAATTCAGAATATTGTTAATGACGAAATAATACGTACCTATATCAACAATTCAGAATATTGTTAATGACGAAATAATACGTACCTATATCAACAATTCAGAATATTGTTAATGACGAAATAATACGTACCTATATCAACAATTCTGAATATTGTTAATGACGAAATAATACGTACCTATATCAACAATTATACGTACCTATATCAACAATTCAGAATATTGTTAATGACGAAATAATACGTACCTATATCAACAATTATACGTACCTATATCAACAATTCAGAATATTGTTAATGACGAAATAATACGTACCTATATCAACTATTCAGAATATTGTTAATGACGAAATAATACGTACCTATATCAACAATTCAGAATATTGTTAATGACGAAATAATACGTACCTATATCAACAATTCAGAATATTGTTAATGACGAAATAATACGTACCTATATCAACAATTCAGAATATTGTTAATGACGAAATAATACGTACCTATATCAACAATTCAGAATATTGTTAATGACGAAATAATACGTACCTATATCAACAATTATACGTACCTATATCAACAATTCAGAATATTGTTAATGACGAAATAATACGTACCTATATCAACTATTCAGAATATTGTTAATGACGAAATAATCCGTACCTATATCAACTATTCAGAATATTGTTAATGACGAAATAATACGTACCTATATCAACAATTATACGTACCTATATCAACAATTCAGAATATTGTTAATGACGAAATAATACGTACCTATATCAACTATTCAGAATATTGTTAATGACGAAATAATACGTACCTATATCAACTATTCAGAATATTGTTAATGACGAAATAATACGTACCTATATCAACAATTCAGAATATTGTTAATGACGAAATAATACGTACCTATATCAACTATTCAGAATATTGTTAATGACGAAATAATACGTACCTATATCAACAATTCAGAATATTGTTAATGACGAAATAATACGTACCTATATCAACAATTCAGAATATTGTTAATGACGAAATAATACGTACCTATATCAACAATTCAGAATATTGTTAATGACGCCGAGCATGTTTGGTGAGAAACCTCTAATCTTTATTGTTGACCTGAAGAAATAAAGCTTGTACATATTTGCTTTCTCGTATAGAGAAAGTATTGCAATCGTGCAGCAAAATTACATGAAATTTTTAGTTTTCGACGTTTTACACCTCCCCCCTGTATCGTATATGGAATATAAAGGATTAATTTTAATACCAACTTTTGATCTTCTAAGCGAGCGAATGATTAAACAGCTCAAACTGATATCAAGAGACGAACTTTAAATAAACCGGGAGTGATCTCCCCTAAACTTTCTCGAATATTCTTATATAAAATAACAGGGGATGGGAACGGGCTATAGACATGATTTTTAATCCATTTTAAATACTTAAAGTTTTAAAAATAGAATAAAATCTCGTAGACAAATTAATTGCACACCAAGTGAACGCCAAATAAAAAAGCGCATAATGGTGCGCAATATTATTAGTACTTTTAAAATTTACATTAGTTTTTTGAGAAATCGGAAGTAGCGTAAAGTACTACTTCCAGTCAACGGAAATGACTCAAAATTTGACAGAAGGTAGAGAATTAGATCTTTTACTTACATGTGAAATTTCATTTATCTATCTGAAATAGTACTCAAGTTATAGGCTTTTGAAAAATTCAAAGTAGGAAAAGTACCACTTCCGGTTATCGGAAATCGCTCAAAAGTTGATACGGATCTACGATTTTGATAAAATACTTATATATGAAATTTCATCAACCTAGCTGTAACTGTTCTCAAGTTATCGTGTTTACACACGGACAGACAGACACACAGACACACAGACACACAGACAGACACACAGACATACGGACAAGATTGCAAAATTATGTTTTTCCGTATCAGTGAGGTGTGAAACGTCGAGATTTGTAAAAATCTCGATTATTTTTTTTTGCACGATTACAAGACTTTCTCTATACTTCGTATATACGAGAAAGTAAAAAGGCATAAACGTTTTAATAACAAGCTTTTATGTAACAATCCACTAAAAAGTAGAAAATTAAAGATTTTCAACTTTTGTACAGTTGCCGGTTACCGAAAGTGATATGAATTCTATTTCCAGTCTCTCAAATGCTCATAACTTGAGTACTAATAAAGTTAGACAGACAAAATTTCAAATGTATATATAAGTATTAGAATGTATGCGAAAGTTCCTTTAAACTTTTGTTACGATTTCCCGTAACCGGAAGCGGTACCTTGCTCTATTTGATCATTGGGGACGCGGTAACTTGAATACTGCTTCATTTAGGTAAATGAAATTTCTTAAATAGATTCCAAGTAAAAAGTCTTATACTTGGATTACTTTCAAATTTTGATTGACCTCTTATATATCTGGAAGCTGTACATCACTTTATGTCAAGTGTCTAAAATACAGATAACATAAGTACCGTTTCAGTCAGATGAACAAAATTTAACAAACAGGTATAAGAACTTGTTTTCTTGATTTTATCAAATTTTTAGTGATTTTCGGTGACGGGGAGTAGTACTTTATGGTATTTCCGATCTCTAAAAAATATCACTTCTACCTGACTGATTTGTTTCAAACTTTTCATGTAGGTCCAGACTCCATAACAAAAGGAACTATGACATAAAATGTGAATTAGATGTTTAATTATCTTTAAAAAAAATATTTAAATTTCTCTTACTATATAGCCTACTGCAATGTTTATTGTTATTTGTCCTACAGAATCAAAGAAAAAGTACAGAAAACATGACATGTTAGATTAAGGACAATTGAAAATGTTGTAGAACTTACAGAAAACATGACATGTTAGATTAAGGACAATTGAAAATGTAGAACTTACAGAAAACATGACATGTTAGATTAAGGACAATTGAAAATGTTGTAGAACTTACAGAAAACATGACATGTTAGATTAAGGACAATTGAAAATGTTGTAGAACTTACAGAAAACATGACATGTTAGATTAAGGACAATTGAAAATGTTGTAGAACTTACAGAAAACATGACATGTTAGATTAAGGACAATTGAAAATGTTGTAGAACTTAAAACAGTTCGTTAAGGACAGCTGAGCCGTGTTCTTCATTAGTGCTTATGTCATCCCGAGGCCGGTAACACATTCAAATATAGACCTCTTCGACAGGGCGACCCCCATCAATCCATCGCCACACTATTTAAAGGGAGAGAATTAGCAAGACAGGGGACAACATTTGGTGGAGCGCGAAGCTGAACCCAAGGCATAGCAGTGGGCCAGCTGATCAAGGGACATTACTAATGGACATTTCGACTGTTTAAAACTCTAGTAGCAGTCCCTGTCACTAGCTATCGGATACCAAGTGATGGAACGAATTTTAGGTAAGGGCTAAATTTTCTTTTATGAGGAGTAGCTGGGGAGAAAGGTAGTATTCAAATACCAATGGGGAAAATAACTACAGATTTAGATGTTGAAAGAAAAAACAACATCATACATCTACATATTTTATTTAACAATCTTGGTTCGAAGCTTTACTATGCTATGATCCGTATAGGGAGTGATTCATTTAGTTCTTAATGTATTCTTGAGCATGATGTTTCCATGTACTTGAACAATATCAACTTCTGTAGATGTGACCATGATCTACATCGTTAGACTAAATGATGATCTACTTCTGTAGATGTGACCATGATCTACTTCTGTAGATGTGACCATGATCTACTTCTGTAGATGTGACCATGATCTACTTCTGTAGATGTGACCATGATCTACTTCTGTAGATGTGATCATGATCTACTTCTGTAGATGTGACCATGATCTACTTCTGTAGATGTGACCATGATCTGCTTCTGTAGATGTGACCATGATCTACTTCTGTAGCTGTGACCATGATCTACTTCTGTAGATGTGACCATGATCTACTTCTGTAGATGTGACCATGATCTACTTCTGTAGATGTGACCATGATCTACTTCTGTAGATGTGACCATGATCTACTTCTGAAAACTTGAACTGTTTATGCTCCAACTGACGAGAGCACACTTTTAAGAGTACAAGTATTACAATCCACTAGCTGAGTACAAGTATTACAATCCACTAGCTGTGTAAAAGTATTACAATCCACTAGCTGAGTAAAAGTATTACAATCCACTAGCTGAGTAAAAGTATTACAATCCATTAGCTGAGTACCAGTATTACAATCCACTAGCTGAGTACAAGTATTACAATCCACTAGCTGAGTACAAGTATTACAATCCACTAGCTGACTACAAGTATTACAATCCACTAGCTGAGTACAAGTATTACAATTCACTAGCTGAGTACAAGTATTACAATCCACTAGCTGAGTACAAGTATTACAATCCACTAGCTGAGTACAAGTATTACAATCCACTAGCTGAGTACAAGTATTACAATCCACTAGCTGAGTACAAGTATTACAATCCACTAGCTGAGTACAAGTATTACAATCCACTAGCTGAGTACAAGTATTACAATCCACTAGCTGCCCCCGTTAAAACTAAGGTTAGGAGTTTGCCCTAGAATTCTGCCATCAGTTTTATTTGTACCTGACACGTGATTATGAGCCGGAACTTAATTTGATGGCATTAAGTAAAACAAGTAGAACTTAATTAGCTAGAGTAAACAATGCCAAGTATTGCCTCTAAATCATTATCTTTTTAACAAGCTTTTATTTAACTTGTTTTCTCTGTCTGTCTGTCTGTCTGTCTGTCTGTCTGTCTGTCTGTCTGTCTGTCTGTCTGTCTGTCTGTCTGTCTGTCTGTCAGCCTGTCTGTCTGTCTGTCTGTCTGTCTGTCTGTCTGTCTGTCTGTCTGTCTGTCTGTCTGTCTGTCTGTCTGTCTGTCGTTATACATCGCAACTGCCCCGGGAATTTAGAGCTCTTTCAAACTTGGCACGTGGGTCAACACCCAATGACAATGCAATCTGACAGCAAATTTTACTTAATTGGATGACCAATTAATTTTTTTATGAATGAATTAAAATGTATTAAAGTAGGAGGTCCTACTATTATTCCGCTCTATTATACGAAAATTTTTATGTTCATTTGGTGCGCAAAAGTTTTTAGTCATGAAAAAATACATTAAAAACGTTTTGATAACACGCTTTTATGTAATAATGCACTAAAAAATAAAATAATTAAATGATTTTCTTCAAATATATAATAATACACTACTATTTAAATAACTATAAAGAAAAGCGTGGAACTCTTCCCAAATATAAGTAAAGGTATACAAAATATATTATAGTGACCCACGCTTTTCTTTATAGTTATTTAAATAGTAGTGTATTATTATATATTTAAAGAAAATCTTTAATTTTCTACTTTTTAGTGGATTGTTACATAAAAGCTTGTTATGAAAACGTTTATGCCTTTTTATTCCAAGCTTTTATTTAACTCACTTCCTCTGTCGTCGCCAGTCTGTCGTCAGTCTAGATCGAAACGCAGGAGTGAAAATTCGGAAACTTCTACTTGACTGATACGATTCACATTTGACACGTGGGTCAAGACATGAAGACAATGCAATCTGAAATTAAATTTGACTTAATTGGATGCCTAATTAATTTTTTATGAATTAATTAAAATTTGGACCGAATTAGTAGGCATGTCTAGCCAACCACACCACACGCGTCATCACGTTCAATAGCTGCGCCATCACGGTACGTTCAATAGCTGCGCCATCACGTTCAGTAGGCGCGCAATGGTTTTTAGTCATGTAACTCTATTGTAAATAAAACATGTAAAGTACTGAAAAAAAATTCATAAAAAACGTTTTAATAACAAGCTTTTATGTAATAATGCACTAAAAAGTAGAAAATAAATTATAGACTACTATTTAAATAACTATAAAGAAAAGCGTGGGTGTCTTCCTCAACATTAGTAAAGGTATCCAATAGATACTAAAGTGACCCACGCTTTTCTTTATAGTTATTTAAATAGTAGTCTATAATTTATTTTCTACTTTTTAGTGCATTATTACATAAAAGCTTGTTATTAAAACGTTTTTTATGAATTTTTTTTAAAAGTTCGTCTCTTGATATCAGTTTGAGCTGTTTAATCATTCGTTCGCTTAGAAGATCAATTGTTGGTATTTCTTTGCTGTGTGACATGTTGGTCAATAAAAATATTACTCTAGGGCTGAGGTCAAAAATAGAAACATGATTATAAAGCGCATTTTTACTTTCTCGAATACGAAGTAGGCCTATAGAGAAAGTATTGTAATCGTGCAAAAAAAATAATAATAATCGAGATTTTTTACAAATCTCGACGTTTTACACCTCCATGAGTCGGAAAAATATAGTTTGTGTGTGTGTGTGTGTGTTTGTGTGAGTAAACACGATAAATTGAGTACCATTACAGCTACGTAGATACAATTTCATATATAAGTATTATATCAAATTTGTAGTTCTGTAACAATTTTTCAGCAATTTCCGATTACCGGAAGTTGGACTTATTCTACTTTTAGTTTTTTAAAAGCCTATAACTTGAGTACTGTTTCGAAATTTCACATATAGATCTAAGTAAAATATCTAATGTTCTGTCTTCTTTCAAATTTTGAGTATTTTCCGTTGACCGGAAGTAGTAATTAACGCTATTTCCCATTTCTCAAATAACGAAAATGAATTTATAAAGTACTAATATTATTCCTTACTATTAAACACATATTGTTTGCCATTCACTTGGTGTGCAATTCTTTTTTATACAGGATTCTATTATATTTTTAAAAGTTTAAGTTATTAAAAATTAATTAAAAAGCATGTTTACACCCCGCGTTGCCATCCCCCGTAGTGTTATATAAGAATATTCGAGAACGTTTAGGGAAGATCACTTAGCTGTCACTTGACGGCCACAAGTTTGTTCAGCTGTCACTTGACGGCCACAAGTTTGTTCAGCTGTCACTTGACGGCCACAAGTTTGTTCAGCTGTCACTTGACGGCCACAAGTTTGTTCAGCTGTCACTTGACGGCCACAAGTTTGTTCAGCTGTCACTTGACGGCCACAAGTTTGTTCAGCTGTCACTTGACGGCCACAAGTTTGTTCAGCTCTAACTTGACGGCCACAAGTTTGTTCAGCTGTCACTTGACGGCCACAAGTTTGTTCAGCTGTCACTTGAAGGCTACAAGTTTGTTCAGCTGTCACTTGAAGGCTACAAGTTTGTTCAGCTGTCACTTGACGGCCACAAGTTTGTTCAACTCTAACTTGACGGCCACAAGTTTGTTCAGCTCTAACTTGACGGCCACAAGTTTGTTCAGCTGTCACTTGACGGCCACAAGTTTGTTCAGCTGTCACTTGACGGCCACAAGTTTGTTCAGCTGTCACTTGACGGCCACAAGTTTGTTCAGCTGTCACTTGACGGCCACAAGTTTGTTCAGCTGTCACTTGACGGCCACAAGTTTGTTCAACTCTAACTTGACGGCCACAAGTTTGTTCAGCTCTAACTTGACGGCCACAAGTTTGTTCAGCTGTCACTTGACGGCCACAAGTTTGTTCAACTCTAACTTGACGGCCACAAGTTTGTTCAGCTGTCACTTGACGGCCACAAGTTTGTTCAGCTGTCACTTGACGGCCACAAGTTTGTTCAGCTCTAACTTGACGGCCACAAGTTTGTTCAGCTGTCACTTGACGGCCACAAGTTTGTTCAGCTGTCACTTGACGGCCACAAGTTTGTTCAGCTCTAACTTGACGGCCACAAGTTTGTTCAACTCTAACTTGACGGCCACAAGTTTGTTCAGCTCTAACTTGACGGCCACAAGTTTGTTCAGCTGTCACTTGACGGCCACAAGTTTGTTCAGCTGTCACTTGACGGCCACAAGTTTGTTCAGCTGTCACTTGACGGCCACAAGTTTGTTCAGCTGTCACTTGACGGCCACAAGTTTGTTCAGCTGTCACTTGACGGCCACAAGTTTGTTCAGCTCTAACTTGACGGCCACAAGTTTGTTCAGCTGTCACTTGACGGCCACAAGTTTGTTCAGCTCTAACTTGACGGCCACAAGTTTGTTCAGCTGTCACTTGACGGCCACAAGTTTGTTCAGCTCTAACTTGACGGCCACAAGTTTGTTCAGCTGTCACTTGACGGCCACAAGTTTGTTCAGCTCTAACTTGACGGCCACAAGTTTGTTCAGCTCTAACTTGACGGCCACAAGTTTGTTCAGCTCTAACTTGACGGCCACAAGTTTGTTCAGCTCTAACTTGACGGCCACAAGTTTGTTCAGCTGTCACTTGACGGCCACAAGTTTGTTCAGCTGTCACTTGACGGCCACAAGTTTGTTCAGCTCTAACTTGACGGCCACAAGTTTGTTCAGCTCTAACTTGACGGCCACAAGTTTGTTCAGCTGTCACTTGACGGCCACAAGTTTGTTC